TATTTTTAGTTTGTACCTATTTTTAATTTGTACCCATATATTAGTTTCTTTTTGTGCCCATATTTTTTAAAGTTTTATTTGTTTTTGTATCCATGTGTATAACATTACGTGAGATTGTATATTTATGTTTTATGCCTAAACTTTGTATCATATATTTATATTTTTAGTTTGTACCCACTTTTAATTTGCAACATTTTTTTTTAATTTGTAGTATTTTCTTTTTAGTTTTATTTTTTACCCATGTATTAATTTCTTTTAGTGCCTATATTTTTTAAAATTTCATTTGTACTCATAATTTTTTAATCTTTTATCTATATCCTAATTTATTTATAATGTACCCATTCTTCTTTATTAATGTATCACTCTGTTATATGTGAAATGTACCAATTTTTTTTTAACACTATGGATACATTTTTTTGTCATTTATTATTTATTATTTGTACATAGTTTTTATCCATTTATTCAATCAAACTGTTTGAATTTTTTTATTGTAACCGTTTCTAATAGTATTATAATGAGGGATTTTAAATTTTAAGGATTATAAATCTCATAGAATATCAAACAATTAATGTCAAAACTATAAAACTATAAATATTAATTGTAATATAATGAGGTGTACAAAGTCAAGGGACTTTGATCAAACTTTGAATACCATTAATCTTTTAGTCAAAGAATGTTAAGAATTAGGGACTGCATCCAAAGTATCCCAAAAAAAATATATCTTAAACAATAAACAAATTCATGAAGTTTTTATTATCCTCTGATTATTTATTTATTTTTTAATGGTTTTCCTAAGCAGGTGTCTTCTACTGCACAATACATAATACAACACTTCACAGCTGCCACTGGTTGTCGCAAGCTAGAAGGCAAAGTGAAGAACATATTCGCAACCGGGAAAGTGATCATGGCAATGGTGAATGATCCCGGCCCCAGTGGCAGCTCAGCTGCCGGAGCCACCACAGTTTCGGAAAAAGGATGCTTTGTGATGTGGCAGATGGTTCCTAATAAGTGGCTCATTGAGCTAGTTCTAGGTGGTCACAAGGTGGCAGCTGGTAGCGACGGCATTGTCGCTTGGCGCCACACGCCCTGGCTAGGCGCCCACGCTGCCAAAGGTGGTGTTCGTCCCCTCCGGCGAGCTCTTCAGGCAAGTCCTACTTAACTAAATATTTTTTGAATTAGAATTAATTCATCTAAATGTCGTGGTTTGGTCCCAAAGAAAAATGCACTGGGAAAATGTGTCTGAGGGGACCAGGGGCAAATAAATACAGTGTTGCTTGTTAGGTAGGGTAGTGTGAAAATAATGAACTTATTGTACCAGAACTGCCATCTGCATTTGTCACTTTAATTGAGAGAGGCGTCACCAAAATTATAGAAGTTGCCAGATATTAAACGGTTAGACTGTGAATTTGAACTATTGATCCAATTGATTATAATTAAAATGTAGTTTCGAATTACAATTTCACAATATACACATTAGTCTGACAACGTACATTTGACAAGAAACTATTAAGTGCATCTACATTTGAACTATACGAGAAAAGAAAATGAAATTGTTTGTAACACTCTACAAAGTCATCCTACGCTCTAGATGCACTCTTCCCTAGTGTAAAAGATACATACAGAAGGGTGAAGCAAAACGATTCTTTTGGAGTGCATATAACAGCTCCTAAAGAAATAAGCTCATAAAAACGTTATTTTGTCAAAATTTTTGTAGTCAAGCTAGAGTTGGCTAGTACGTAGTAGAGCAATGTACTCTCGAAAGATTGTGAATCTAGACCATTGACGTCAGCATTTGTCATAATGTGTAATAATGTAGTTTAAATTCGTCTTTAGCGAGAATCGAATCTAAAACATCTCATAATGTGTAATTTAACCATACAGTTTGACAATATTAACATTATGTGTATTTTACGATTCAAGCGTACTCAAAATAGAAAAGCACATGAAAAGCAGAAGAAAGCAACACACACCAGCAAAGCACTCGTCTCGTAATTAGAAGATTCCTCAAACACCATAATTGGTAGCCTTGACCTGTTCCCTTTACGTTTGCGTCTTCTTCTACATATCTAACAGATTTGTAGGGAAAATTATAAGGAAAGATCTGCAACGACCCCAAAGAAAACAGAAAGGTCTCAGACCCACGATACCAATAAGCTGAAATGTGCTTTTCAGGAAAAATAATGTTAGGTAAATTAATTTTTTAAATAAAATCTGTAAACTATGTGATGTGTTATTAATAGAAAATTAGTATGTGAATCAACACTTAATAATCTAATCATCAACAATCACGTTATAATTGTTTACAAAATATGATTTACATAAAGGATCTTCCTAGCATTATTGAGTCAGCAATTGTACAATATGCATGTTATTAGAGTAGGTATTATTTATCTACTTATTTTTTATATTTATTGTTTCATAGTATGTTTTTGGTGGAGTTGGATATCTAAATTACCTAATAATATGGGAAAGAACTATTCACACACTTATCTTTACTTCTCATACATTTTTGTTAATTTTTTACCATTGTTCTCCTTCAATTCATTCAATCCGACAGCAGAAAATGAAAATGATGTGTAAGAAATAAATATAGTTGTGCGGATAACTCTAGTTTAAAAAAATATACCATCTTTGTTAATCAAAAGAGCGTGAAAAGACAATTTGGTCGTCTATCAAAATAAAATCATTGACAATAATCTAATTTAAAACAAAATAAAAAAATTCACCTTCTCTCTCTCTCTCTCTCTTTTCTATATATTTTGTTGTTTTAATAGAGAGTGAAAAGACAATTTGGTTGTCTATCAAAATAAAATCATTGACAATAATCTAATTTAAAACAAAATAAAAAAATTTACCCTCTCTCTCTCTCTCTCTCTCTCTCTCTCTCTCTCTCTCTCTCTCTCTTATATATATATATATATATTTTTTTTTTTTTTTTTTTGTTCTTTTAATAATTTATTTATATTTACACACGTATAATATGTGGGCTTCACATGCATGTTAGGAATTTTTCTTTCTTTTACTTGCATTCATTGAGATTCATGATAAACACCAAACCATTGGATGCGTTCACAGTCAACGAATGCAATGGTTGTTTTTTGTTAACATGAGTAACCGGATATGTATTATCTCTTTTATGATATGAGTGCGAGCTCACCTGCATTCATTTCGATTTATGACGAACACAAAGATTATTGAATGTCTTATTTAACCTCGGTTAAACATATCCAATGGTCTTTGTGCTCGTCAAAAGATTATCACAAGTAAACAGACTACGTATAATATAAGACGTTATATCAGTGTTGAAATGTTTTTCTTTTTTGGTTAGTAGGGATTAGATCCAATGGCAATATCAGCTGTGTTTGCCCCAGCACAGTACATGGGAGAAAAGCAAATCACAGGCGTCGATTGCTTCGTGTTGAAGTTGTCAGCCGATCAAACGGATCTGGCTGAACGAAGCGATAGCACAGCAGAGATGATCAAGCATGTAATATTTGGCTACTTCAGCCAAAGAAATGGGCTGCTGGTGTACTTAGAGGACTCATACTTAACCAGGATCCACTCACCTGGCGCCTACCCTACCTACTGGGAGACCACAATGTCGACGAAAATCGAGGACTATCGGACGGTGGAGGGTGTGATGATCGCGCACGCCGGTCAGACGAGCGTGATCATCACACGGTTTGGGGACAACCTAAAGACGGGATCCGCGATCACGCGGCTGGAAGAAACATGGACCATTGATGATGTTGCATTCAACGTCCCCGGCTTGTCCATGGATTGCTTCATTCCTCCTAAAGAAGTACAGAAAGATTACCCCAAGAAAGATTTTGATTGGAGATCACCGTTGGATTGATGATGAGATGATGGTGATGATCTTGATCAAGATTAGTTGATAACAAAGGGATTTGATTATATGTTTTGATCCATGCCTTGTGTGAACAGTTGAATATTTTTGTCTCTTCATATACAAAGTGTAGATACAGTTATTTTCATACATGCTTATGTACATCTTTGTTTTTTTTCAAGAATTATTTAAGAGTTTGTTTGATAACTATTTTTGTTCACTATAGAAAGTAGTAGATGGTCTATTTCCTTCAACGTTTCGATAAAATGCTTGCTCCACAAATCTCGACAACATTGACGTCAGCATTTGTTTACGCTCAACAAACTCACTAGGAAGCTATCGGAAGCAAATTCTAACAAAGTACCAAATATCAACGTCGTAGGTGAAAACTAAAACAAACAATCTCAAATTGACACAAGAGATTTACGTGGTTCAGCGTAAAGCCTACTCCTCGGGCGAAGCACGGCGAGGAATTTCACTAAACAAACGGAGATTACAAAAAAGTGTTTAAACTCTCACAACCCAAATCCCACAAATTACAAACCCTAAACCAAACAAGTAGAGAACTCAAACCTAACGGAGAAGATTCTCCCAAATTGCTCTCTAACTCACAAATTGACTCTTACCAAATTGTCACACGAATGAGCCACACTAAATACACTAACCCTAAGGTCCTATTTATAGTGCATAGGACTTAGGTTACAATATGAATCATAATAGGAAATAAATCTAAATCCTAATCAAATAGGTAATTAACAAAATCTCTCCACCAAGGAAACTAACTAAGAAGTTAAAACCAAACCCAAATAGGACACCAAAACCAAATAGGTAACACAAACCTAATTTATTGCATCATCCTAATTTTGAGCCAAAAACCCAACACATTGACGTTAGCATTTGTTTACGCTCAACAAACTCACTTGGAAGCTATCGGCGTCTATTAACAATTTTTTTTTTTTTTTTGTGATGCTAAAAGTTGTTTATGTTGAAAAATAAAAACACGTTTCGATAATTTTACCTTGGAACTCTAGATATTAGAATTCTAGATCTGTTCGTTGCTTAAGAAGAATTGAACTCAAGACCTTAAATATACGAGTAGATGTTTAGATGTAGGAAACAATTGGTTTATTTAATGAACACTACTTGACTATTACTACGAATATGCAAATCACCGTTTAATGTATGCAGAAAATCACCGTTTGATGTATATGTAATTAACTGGAAAAGCTTTTGTACGGGTAGATATAGCACAAGCTTTGAAAGTTTGCGAGTGAAAAATGGGACTGGTCCGTTATAGCCGTTGGGCTTCGCGCCTCAAAACATTGAATTCCCAATACAAGCCTTTCCTCTCCGCCACCTCCTTCTTTTCCTCCGGCACCACAGCCGGGAATGAGAACCCAGGTCGACCCGGACCGCCTCCGATTCAAGTCGCGCTCACAGAGTCATCCGGGCGCGGCGTCTTCGCCACCCGGAAAATCGAGAACGGCGAGCTCATACACACAGCCAAGCCCGTCCTGTCTCACCCTTCCCTCTCCACCGTCCACCGGGTCTGTTATTTTTGCCTCAGAAAGCTCAGAAACACGGACACCTCCCAACCACAACGTGTTTCGTTTTGCAGCGACGATTGCAAAAAGCAAGCTAAGGTTGGCAGTTCGAATTTTGGGTTATGAGCACCCAGTGTTCGAGCTTTTGTCTCTGAAAGAACTTGCTTAATTTGGGTTGTATTGCTGTTTTTTTTAGGGTTTTTATGATGTTGAGATGAGAGCAGATTGGTCAGTTTATGATGACTATTGCAGGTATGCTTGTTTTGCAGACAATGGAACAATATAGTTTATACTACAGAAGTTACTCATGCTACACACTGTATTTGCAGAATTTTGTTATTTCTTTATCATGTATGTATTGTAGGAAAACCATCAAGATTTCATCTTAAAGCGGTTTGTGATCTAACGGAAGTCATTAGAGAGTTTCCTTGCTTCTTTCCGGTGTCATTGGTTCTTAAGTCGACATTTTTGCCCCATTAACAGGGCTTGACAAAAACAAGAACAGCAACTGCTAGTACAAATACTTTTTTAGTTGATGAGCGTCAATATTATCTTTGTTTTAAGTATTTCACATGAAAGGGAAATAACAATTTTGCACAAATTTGTTTTATATATTTAGTTATGCTGGGTTTTTACACCTGGTCTGACAAGTCAGAAATGCTTCTAGCTACGTATTAATTTGGTTACTTGTAATTGTCTCTTACTAAAGGTCCCATGGTTTGAAATACCCACTTCTTGTAAAGCGGTTGGCTTGTATGGTCGTGTCGGGAGCTGCACCTGCCAATCTTCTTGACATACTCCAACCTGCTAGCTTATTCGCAGAGATGATTTCAGAGGTCAGTACATTGGCTTTATTCTATGTTGATGACGCTAGAGTTTGAACGTTGAAATGGTATCATGACTTTATTTTCTTTATATACGTTCCACCAAGTAGAAGGAGCTTCGAATTCTATTCCCGCTTCCCTAGTGCACAAAATTCACTTACTTGTACCTGGCGTGTTTGTCATGCTTTCAGAACAATTATAGCCCTTATGTCTTTCCCCTTAAAAGTAATTTTCTTGGGTTCTTTGTCTTAAGAAGAGTATCAAATATGTTAAAAATTAGGGACGCATAGCTTATTCTGGTTCCTTCTTCGGGTGGCTGAAAAGCTTGAAAACTTGACAGTTTGTATTTCTTTTGATCATCAAAGTTCCCTGCCTTTTCTCTTTCTTGCTACAACTTTGTAGTAGGCATTACCAGAATAAATTAGGGAACTTTAACGAAAAGCACCCGGTACTGTTCACTTTAACGAAAAACCACATTTTTACACTAAAAAGTCAATCATGGTACTATTCACTTTACCCTTTATTTTGTCCTTATCATTAAAACTCAAAGTTTTCAAGCCCTTTTCATTAGTTTTCCTAATAAATTAATGATTATTTATGCATCAAGGTGACAATTTTCAGATGGAAGCGGGGTTTGGCTTGCTAAGGAGTACCTTCAGAAACTCAAATATCACGGATGAACAGATGTCATGTATCCTTCAACTGACTGAAAATTAATATTTATTTCCATCTTAGTTTTCAGATCATGTGTACTTGGCATCAGCATTTGGGAGAATAATTTTCTTTGACATTAGAAGTTTTAACTAAGCAATGGTATATTGGCATACTGGCACGCATTCGCATTAATGCATTTCGAATTGAGTTGGTTGGGGGACTGTATGATGATCTCCTGTCATCAGCAGCAGCATCTATAGATGCTGAAGCTGCTGTTGGGAATGCTGTTTATATCCTTCCATCGTTCTATAATCATGATTGTGGTAAGCTCTTCTTGTCTTCTGCTTCTGCACTATTTTGGTAAAACTTTTCTCCCTCCTTTATTTTAATTATTTGAAATTGCAATTTTTCTCGGGAGAGGAAATATGGAAATTAAGAACTATACCATAAGTGTTTTGGGCATATTCTGCTTAGGCTTAGCACATGGAGTTATCACAAAAGTAATGAAAGTTCTAGGTCCAGTTAGTATCTTCCAGATGTTAATCTAATTTAGTCAAGATGTTAAATGAAATTTAATTTAACATGATATAAGACATTGAATAAAGTAGTTCGCACGGTAGGAGAAGCTGATAATTGTGCATATGTTCCCGTAGACACCTGTACGGCTCTATCATCCACCTCGTGTCTGCTTTGAGAAATTTGAATCAGCTGACATTTGTTTTTTTACTTCAGATCCAAATGCCCACATTATATGGATAGAGAACACAGATGCAAGATTGAAGGCCCTACGCGATGTGGACGCAGGTATGTGTATTGTGCAATAGTTTCTCTTTTGATAATGCTAAAGAACTACTTGCATTAATAGAAAACCAAATGCTAAAGAACTACTTGTAACAAATGAGCCGAGACTCTTTGATCCGGAGGTCGTAAGGGGGATCATGGGCCAGCTAGGTACTGGGAGTTGTCTAGTTGTTTGTTGATCAAGTCCCTTTGTTAGAAGGATTGATTTGGATAAAGATGAATCCTTAAACCCCCAGGAGTGTTAAAGCTAAAGGCACTAAGGAACACGGAAAGAATCTAGCTCGTTGTGGAGATGTGTTCAAAGTCCTAATTAAAGTAGGATTGGCCGAGTCTTAGTTAGATCAGGATGAGGAGTCCTAGTCCAGGTAAGGTTTTAACTCGGCCGGAAGTAGGTTCGCTACTATAAATACAGAGGATGAACACACATTCAAGTCCCTCCAATTCAACACACAAACTGCCCTGCGCAAACCCTCGCTCTACACGAAACCTTTCAACAACCTTGAGATTTTTATTTTCTTTTTCACCAACACATCTTCAGTTTGGATAAACAACAATGTGAAGGCAACCAGTGAACATCTTCAGTTTAGATAAACAGCACTGTTGCCGTAGAATCAGCCGACCGCGAAACACCTTCAATTTGGATAAACAGCACTGCGTCAAGGCCGACTGGTTATTTATCCAAGTCTCGGTCGAGAAGGGTTTTCGAATCCTTATTGGTAGAGGTCATCTCACGAGCCTTCTCGACGAAGTGACGTGTTACGAATCACTAGACTCGGCGCATTGAACGCCGAGTGGTTTTATGATTGGATACTCACAAGTTAGGTTTAGAGTTCGGCATTCTAACGGCTGAACCACATTTACGATTAAGACGTACATTTGCTTTGAATATTTGTGTCCATATAGTCTGGTGTTGATTCGGCATGCTTATACTCTTACGAATATAATCACCGTGACCAAATCTGACACTGACGATTTGTGAACTTCGTAGAACTAGCAGCCTTGTCTTTAGGCTCTAGAACCCAAAGGCCGAGACGTGTTCTTTCCTCGACCGCAATCGCAAGATCGAGAAGTCAGCAACGCATCCGACGCAACATCAACATATTTTACTCCTCGACCGAGCTCGGCTGACGAGTTGGCATGCCTGCATACAACCGAAGGACGTAGTTAGCTCATTAGTTACTCGGCCTACGCGCCACGTAGGCTTGGTAGTTTTTAGGGTCAACAATATTGTATAGTTGTAAGTTGTAGCCGTTCTCAATGAAATAATGTAAAAACAATTCTATTCTCCACAAACCAAGTTCTCTCTTCTTTCTATAGGTCCAAGGGCACCAGTCTTTTCATAATTAGTCTTTACATCCCCACATTCATTATCTTCATCATATGCAATACCTGTTCCGCTATCTTAAATTCTTAATGTTATCAATGTTGGCTATTAATTTAGGGTCCCGTCTTTTGGTGAATAGTGTTTGCATCTGGCAGACACTTGTTAATAAAATACCTCTCCCCGTCCCACAATCTTAATGCTAACAGCATATGCATGTAATGCTAAGAGTCAAGCCAATGGAAAGTAATGTATCGAAGCTGTTGCTTCAAAAACACTTCTTTTGTGATAACCATATAACATTGGAAATTGATTGAGCTACACGGGAAGTGTAGTCTATTAGCGTACCATATATGAGTTTGGGGCTAGGTAGATATGGTAAAGACGTGCTTATGCAAAATACTACACGGGGTCAGTAAAAAGTAAGTTATTGGGTGTTTTGCGTTTTCAGGTGAAGAGCTCCGGATCTGCTACATCGATGCAAGCATGGATCATGATGCCCGGCAGAGTATACTGTCCCAGGGGTTTGGTTTTCAGTGCAGTTGCCTTCGGTGTCTGTCCGGTGATTAATGGTATTTCTTTCGTATAAAAGCTGGGTATCATTTTCGTTTTTTTGGTGAATTTAGTCATTTTCGCCAAACGTCCAACTGAACATTTTACAGTATGAGTCAGCTGCAACATGAATTTTTGTTAATTAAGGTATGTCTAAATTTTAGGTCATTTGTTTATGTTTGATAAATGATTATTTCCATTATATACAAGCGACACGAAGGTACTATAATCTAGTTATTGCTTGTAAAACTAAAATTTCGTTGACTCGTGGAGAACCTTAATGATAAATTAAATTTTTTTGTAAAATTCCGCTAATATGAACAAACGTATGATTAATTCGCTTCAAGATGGTTTGTTGATTGGGTTCATATTTTGTTTTTGGTTTCAAAGCCATATTTTTGGGCCAACCTTTTTATAACCCCCCATGTTGGATGCCCTGAAAAATTTAATGGTCTAATAAGTTTGGGATGCAATGGCAACATGATAATTAATAGGGCAAAAGACTGTTTACTACCCTCATGTTTCGTGGTTTTCAACATTTAGTACATTAATTTTTTTTCATCACAGAGTCATACCTAAAATGTTAATTTTGAGACAGTTTCATACATCCGTTAGTCAAACTGTTAGTTCTCCCGTTAAGTGATGACGTGGCGCCCATGTGGACAATGACTGGGCGCCATGTGTCATTGAAAATTATTAAAATAATTAATTAAATTAAAAAAAAAAAACCGAACTCGAGGAAGAAGAAGGAAGAAGAACCCAGAAGAAGGAGGAAGAAGAAGAAGAACCCGAAGAGAAAGAAATGACCCGATTTCCACCTCCATCTCCTCCTTCTTCTTCTTCCTCCTCTTCGCTATTGATTCCGATCAACAAATCCCTAACCCTAATTCCTGGCCTCCCAAACGACGTCGTTGCACTGATCCTCTCTTTCATCCCCTTCTCCCACCAGGCCCGTCTTCGACCCACCTGCAAATGATGGAGGCTCTTCCTCTCCTCCAAAACCCTAATCGCCCTCCGCCAGACCTACCACCGCAGCAACCTCTCCCACCTCCTCTGCATCTTCCCCCAGGACCCCTCCATTGCCGCCCCTTACCTCTTCAATCCTCGAACCCTAACCTGGTGCCCCTTCCCACCCATGCCCTGCAATCCCCACGTTTACGACCTCTGCAACTTCACCTCCCTCTCAATTGGGCCCCATCTCTACGTCATCGGCGACTCGCTCTTCGACACTCGTTCGTTTCCGATCGACCGCCCCTCGTCGTCCTTCACGGTCTTCCGATTTGACTTCAGCACTTCCTCGTGGGACTTCCTTGCTCCAATGCTCACCTCGCGCGGAAGCTTCGCCTGCGCCGCGGTTCCAAATTCGGGAGGGATTCTCGTCGCTGGCGACGGATCTGCCACACTCTGTTCAGCGCGGCTGGAAGCCGAATGAGCTTAGTCGAGTGGTATGACATTGGTAGAAATGAATGGGTTGCAATGGACAGGTTGCCAAGTTTTCGGGCTGGGTGCGCGGGGTTCTTTGTTGAGGATGGCGAGGAGAGGGAGTTCTGGGTTATGGGTGGGTACGGCGAGTCCAGAACAATTTTAGGGGTTTTTCCGGTGGACGAGCATTACAGAGACGTCGTGGTAATGGAATTGAAGAATGGGAATGGTGGTTGCAGGTGGAGAGAGGTTGGAGATATGTGGGAAGCATGGGAGAGGATAAGACTAGGCAAAACTGTTGTCGTGGAAGATGGCGATGAACTGGGTTTGGGCAGATTTGGTTTTTTTTTTTTTCTTCTCCTTCTCCCTCCTCTTCTTCTTCTTCTGCAGATTCGTTAATTTTTTTTTCTTCTCCTCCTTCTTCTTCCTCCTCCTTCTTCTTCTTCTTCTGGGTTCTTCTTCCTTCTTCTTCTTCGAGTTTTTTGTTTTTCCTTCTTCTGATGAGTTGCAATTCGGGTTTTTTTTTTTTTTTTTTAAATTTAATTAATTATTTTAATATTTTTAATGACACGTGGCGCCCAGTCATTGTCCGCATGGGCGCCACGTCATCACTTAACGGGAGAACTAACAGTTTGACTAACAGATGTATGGAACTGTCCCAAAATTAACATTTTAGGTATGACTCTGAGATGAAAAAAAATTGATGTACTAAATGTTGAAAACCACGAAACATGAGGGTAGTAAACAATCTTTTGCCCTAATTAATAATTCAGTACTTTATTTTAGGATTTACATGTAATGGATTTACCGTCATCGTGACATTATGTTCAAATAACACATGACATGTATAAGTTTCTCAACGCATGACATTGTATTATTGATCACAACGCCACTTGACGATAAATCTGTTTCATATAAGGCTTTTGTTTTAGATGCCTAATCCAACATTAACATGCTTGAAAGCGCTATGTACCGAGTGTTATTGCAAGTTGCATGTGGTTAGAGAAGCATTTAAAAGTTTGTGTGTTTTTGTGCTCTTCATACTTGAAAGTGGATTTTGAGCAACCAAAGTTTAGCAATCAAAACTCCACTAAAACCCTTGTTGTTCACATTGAGTTGTAATGCCGAATCAGTCGCTCAATATCCTTGGCCTCTACCTTCTCAAATAAATTGTGACACTCTTTACGCAGGTTGTCTTGTAAGGTATTGGTCCTATAACGAGAATTCTCCTAAAGAGAAAAAACAAACAAACAAAAAAGTGGTTTTTGAACAACCTGAGTTTAGCAATGAAAACTCCACTAAAACCTTTGTCGTTAACATGAGTTGTTATGCTGAATCAGTTGCTCAAAATGAATAAATCCTACAATGAGAATTCTCCTAAAAAGAAAAAACAAACAAACAAAACGGAAAAGAAAAAATGATCATTATGATATGCATCACGTACAAAAGTTCATGTTGGTTGTGTGAGGATTATTTTGGATATGCAAGATTATTTTTTTTTGTATAAACAATATTCTCTACACTAAGGGGGTGGGGGAGTAAAGAAAAATAATGCGAAAACTAAAGAAGAAAAAAATAAATAGTGTAATAATTGCGTTTGCCGGGAGTCGAACCCGGGTCTATTGCTTGGAAGGCAATTATCCTAACCGTTGGACTACAAACGCTTGAGATAATAATCTAGCACATTATCGGATTATAAATAAATCATACTTTTTTTGTTGTTGGATTTCATGGCTAACTAGTTACATAGTATATTATGGAAAAGAAAATTTGACATACAACGCGGATAGAGCACGACGATCATTTAGTCTTGGTAAAATTTAGTCTTTATTTTGCTTTGTATGCTATTTTGAATTAAAAGTTTTCAGATAAATAATATATAATGTTGATTGAGATTTATAGGCTTTGTTCACCAAAATTCAGAGACGACTAACTTAAGAAAAATTTTTAAAGTTCGGTCGTCAATCCAAGTGGTTTTTGGCAATAAAAACACTAATTGTGTCTCTCTAATAGGTAATTATCAACTTATATACTCATAGTTAGAGAACAATCACACACAATATACGGCTGGCCTACTTCTCATTGTTCCATCCACACCCTTCTTGACCCTAGATTATTTTGGGGGTTAAAATCAGAAATGGTCATAAAAACCCCACCCCACCCAAAGAACCGCTAATCAAAAACATAGTGGGGGAGATGCCAAGAGAGTTCCCGCCAACTTTGCCGTTGGTAAAAAAAATGTGTGAAAGGGTGGCATAAAAAGAGTCCCCCCTCTTGTGCCAAAATCTTCCCTATTAAAACAACCAACTCCATTTCCACACATTCACCTAACTCCCATCTCACTCCTCCCTCCACCCTTCCTTTCTCTCTCTAGAATATCAAGTTTACAAAAACCAAATCCAAACTACCAATCTTTTTACCTCATAAAAACCTTATGTAGTTTACTTGCTTCTTTTTCTCTTTTGGGATAGGAAGTGTTTAGCTAGGGTTTCAACCCAACCATGCATTTTTTACTTCAACAACTTTGGTTTGTTATCCTTCTCTTTTTTCCCCTCTTTTATTTGATTAATTTTTGTTTTTCTTTCTTTTTTCAGTTTTCCTGGCAGTGATGGGAGTTGTGTTCCTCAACTCTTTCTCACTGCCGTCAGCAGTTGCACCGGATAGTCTTGAGAGTGTGTGATGATCATAAGAGGAATTGGTGCTTGTTGAGGAGAAAAAGGAGTGTGGTTTTGTGTCAGGGGTCAAGTAGTGGCAATGTTGTAAAGACTGGCGGGTTTTCTTCCGTAGCTGTGATGGATGCCGGAAGCCTGGTTTTGACTCCGAATGACCAGAGGAGCCCGAAAGAGAGTAACATCGCGGTGAAGGATTTGGTGCCTTTTGGTGGATCATCATCAACTCCATCCACCTCTTTGGTTGACATGCATGACGACATTGGAATTCTAAAATTTCTTAGAGGAAAGGGGTTTTTCATAACTGGTGCAACCGGGTTTCTAGCAAAAGGTAAAAATATTTACTACTTTACAAACTGAAATGTGTCTTTGATCATTCTTTTGATCGTCAAGTAATTTCGATGAAAACTGCATGAATATAGCAAAGACCCTTTTGATGTGTGGCATAAGTTTTTGTTCTTTTTGTTAAAAACATCCAGTTCTTATCGAGAAGATATTGAGGACAGCGCCGGATGTGGGGAAGATATTTCTCTTGATCAAGGCAAAAAACAAGGAAGCTGCAATGGAGAGATTAAAAACTGAAGTATGTGTTCTCTATTGAGAGACCTAAACCAGTCACAATTTAGTTACAACAGTAAATAGTTAGTTGTGGTATTTGTGTAATTAGTTGTAGAAGATAAGGTCACTTATGTAAATAGTCTTTGTGACTATATATATCTCTGTGTACTGTCAATTAAGATATGAATGAGAAATATCTTCTTCAACATTTTCTACATGGTTTCATCGCCAAAAGCCTTCCGGCATTCGATCCTCCATTTCTTCCGCTCTACTTCTCTGATTTCTGTTCAAATTGATCAGATTTCTTCGTTGATTTGGTATTCTGATCACTGTTCTTGATCTGTCATGGTGTTTTTTTGTCTACAATTTCTTTCAATTTTGAGTTGGTGATACATCTGAGTTTTCTTCCAATTTCGTTGATTTGGGGATTTTTTGATCGATTTCTCTCTTTCTCGATCGATTTCTTGATTGATTTCGTGATCGATCTTGTGTTTTCTGTCTTTGATTCTTCCTTCTCTCTCGCATCTTGCGCTTGTATATCATGGCATCCCCCTCTGACTCTTCGTCTCCGTCGCTAAACCCTAATTTCTCTGAAAATCCTCAGAACTCGTATATGTCTCTTACGATCCAAAATATTGGTAGCATGGTGCCAATCAAGCTCAAACGCACTAATTACCTTCCATGGCGTGCGTTATTTGCTCCGATCTTGCGCCGATACAAACTTCTTGGCCTCGTCGACGGTACTGAGCCATGTCCGGCTCCCCTTC